CTAGGGGAAACAGTAGATCAATGGGCAGCAGACAGAATTAGAATAAATAAGAATAATAATTTCAAAATGACTATGAAGAAAAGACCCAGAACCTGTTATAAAAATGAAGAGGAGATTATTTGATGCTCAGGCAAGGTGGGACCTGAAGTCCTACAGTTGTGTGAAAAAGAAAGTACACCCTCTTTGAATTGTAGGCTTTTATATATCAGGACACAAAATTGGGTGGAATAGCTAACACCCTGGAAGACAGAAACAAAATTCAAATTGATCTAGATAGACTTGAGCACTAGGCTGAAAACAACAGAATATGAAATTCAACAGGGAGAAGTGCAAAGTACTGCACCTAGGAAACAGAAACCAAACGAATAGTTACAAGATACCGAATACTTGGCTCAGCAATATTACAAGTGAGAAAGATATTGGAGTTGTTGTAGACCACAAGTTGACTATGAGCCAACAGTGTGATGTGGCTACATGTGAAGGAGATATGAGTGAGAGTGTGCCGTCTGTAGTGACTGAAGCACTGATAGAGGAAACGGAGATCAGTGGCGTGAGTGAGAGTGGAGGAGAAACGATGACAGAGGTGGGAAAACAAGAAATGGTAGCTGAGGAGAAAAGGGGGAAGGTAGACATTTGGTGGAAGACAGCACAAAAGGAAAGGGGGAGGAGCAAACGGTGTCAATGTGGGAGGAAAGTATAATCAGGGTGAGCGTTGGTTCGGGGCAGAATTAGAGAATTGGATGAAAAAGAAGGAGGAAGAGAGACGCAGAGAGCTAAAGTACAAGAAAAGTCAAGAATTACTTAACGACTTTCCTCATTTTAAGGTGGGCGGGCTACTGCCAGACCCTCCACCTAAGGCGGAAGGCAGGACAACGTTTTAAACTCAGGGGTGGACGGTCATAGTTTTCCTGAGGGGACAGGGGCATGGGAAACAAGTGATCCGACCTGATAGGAGATACAATAAGGAAGGTGACTGGGCCCGGCACCCATGCTGCGGCACCATCTTTGTGGTGCGAAGTGTGCCTCTCCGGAGACCTATGGATCAGGAGCGGTTTGGCCGAGCACCCCAGTGAATCATTGGAGTTGGGGAGGGAATTCTTTTGACCCAATCATGAATACTGTTGAAGATTTTGGAACTGCACCAAAAGAGGAGTTGCCTGAAGTAGAAAAATAACCCAATCACAGTGGCACCCGACGTGGGGCAACTACAAGCGTGGGAAATGACGGGGTTTTGAAACTACAACAAATGATAGAAAGACAAGAAAAGCTGATAGAAAATCTAGCAGAGCAGCAGACACTTTTGACTCAGTGGTTGCTAAAACAGGAAAACGAGGAGGAGAGAGGGAATAAAGGCTTGAGCATGGGTCAGAATCCACTGGTGGCAGGACCTGCGCCAATAAGAAATCAAAAGATGGAATCGGCAGATGATGCTGAAGCTTACCTACAGACCTTCGAAAGAGTAGCCACAGCTGCAAGGTGGCCTAGAGACCAATGGACGTTGATCTTAATCCCTTGTCTAACTGGAGTATTACAGGAGGTGGTGGATACCTTGTCGGCAGCAGAAGCAGCACATTATGAAACGGTGAATACAGCTATTCTGCGGACATTAAATCTTACTGAGAAAGCTTATAGGAAAAGGTTTACGGAACTGAAGTTGAGACTAGGCATGCATCCAAGACGACTGACACAGAGAATGAGAGCCAATATGATCCGGTGGTTGAGAAAAGGAGAAGACAAAGGAAGAAATCTTAAAAATATTCGTAATGGAACAGTTGGTCACAACATTGGGGAACAACTTACGGAGTTGGGTGCAAAGGAATCACCCTAAGAGACTGGAGGATGCTGTTTGCCTGGTGGAAGATTTTTGCATAGCAGAGGAGGGAGCAAGAGGCAACCCCACCCCTTCAGACAGGACCCGACCATGTGAGAAGATGGCAGCGGGAAGCAACGGAACTGCGCCATGAGGGACTTTGCGAACGAGAGGAACTGGAGCTTTGAACTCATGGGACCTAAGATGGTGAGACAGATCACCTTTGATCATCAGCTTTCGAAAGTGGCATGGGACTCTGACAAAGTCTGACAAAGACGGCCAGCCAGTTTCTTTTGACTGTGGGCGGCCCGGACACATGAGACGCGATTGCCTGGGGACGGATTGTACCTGGGTAGGACAAACTCAGGAAGCTGTCCAAGTTCAGGGATCAGAGCAGGATGGATGGGAGGCGGTAGCATGGCTGAATGGGGAAAGAAAGAGGGCATTAATAGACACAGGGTGCAGGAAGACTTTGGTATGTGACTTGGGGGGGCATCGTCGGGAGAAGATCTGGTAGTAAAATGTATACATGGGGACTCAAAGGCATACAAGATGGCATGGACGGAAGTGAGAATTCAGAGAGAGTGTCGAAGATTGAAAATTGGGGTAGTGCTGAGTTTATCTAGAGAAATGCTGTTGGGACATGGTTGGATTGGGACAAAAAAGTTTTTGCAATTGAAAGAAGGCCTACAAGGGGAATGTGTTGCACAAGGAACCAAAACTGATTTTCTGCAGGAGTCATTGTGGGAACAAACCAGAGTCTGGCAGCAGGACGATGTTACACTGCAAAAAGCACTTCAAGAGGCTAGAGAGGTAGGGAATATAGAGATAGGAGAAATCAGGTTTGAATTGGTAGAAGGACTTTTATACCACGCAGAAAAGGAAGGCGGAAAACGGTAGTGCCCCTGAAGTGGAGATGGGATGTAATGCGCCTAAAGTGAGGAGGAATTAAAGAACCTCTTAATGAGGGTGAAAGAGGAGAGTGCAAAATATGGTCTGAAGCTCAACATCAAAAAAAAACAAACAAAAAACAAAAAACCTAAGATCATCACCACTGGTCCTATTATCTCCTGGGAAATAGAAGGGGAAGATATGGAGGTAGTGACAGATTTTACTTCTTGGGCTCCATGATCACTGCAGATGGTGACAGCAGCCACAAAATTAAAAGATGCCTTCTTCTTGGGAGGAAAGCAATGATAAACCTAGACAGCATCTTAAAAAGCAGAGAGATCACCTTGCCAACAAGGGTCCGTATAGTCAAAGCTATGGTTTTTCCAGTAGCAATGTATAGAAGTGAGAGCTGGACAATAAAGAAGGCAGACTGCCAAAGAATTGATGCTTTTGAAGTGTGGTGCTGGAGGAGACTCTTGAGAGTCCCCTGGACTGCAAGGAGAAGAAACCTATCCATTTTGAAGGAAATCAACCCTGAGTGTGCACTGGAAGGACAGATCCTGCAGCTGAGGCTCCAATACTTTGGCCATCTCATGAGAAGAGAAGACTCCCTGGAAAAGCCCCTGGTGTTGGGAAAGTGTGAAGGCAAGAGGAGAAGGGGACGACAAAGGACGAGATGATTGGACAGTGTCACCGAAGCGACCAACATAAATTTGACCCAACTACGGGAAGCAGTGGGAGACAGGAGGGCGTGGCGCGCTCTGGTCCATGGGATCACGAAGAGTCGGACAGGACTAAACGACTAAACAACAACAACCTTCTTTCTAGCGAGTGGGTGACTTGTGTCTTATTGTATATACAGGCGAGGGCAATTTGCTTTGGAGTTTTTAAACACAAAAACATTGCCCAGTAGTACAAATGTCAGTACAGATAGATGTAGTTTTATTGTCCTTTCCTGACTTTTCTCTGGACAAATTGCATTTTTCAAAGTTTAAGAATCAGTTTTAAACATTTTATTTCATAGGAAATAAACCTGAGTTAGAACAGTCATCTATCTGATTTCAACTGTTAATTTTGCGTTTATCAGTGTTTTTATTATGTGTTGTTCTATGCCGCTGCTGGGTTGTTGTTGTTATTGTTGTTGTAATATTTATACCCAGTTCTCAAGGCAGCATTCATGCTGTTCCTTTTCCGTTCCCACAACAACCCTATAAGATAAGGCAAACTGAGAGATGTCCCTTGGCCTAGGTCTAGGAAAACACAGCTCTGTTCGCGGCCAAGTGGGGGAAATGAATGAAGGTCTTCTCATTCTTAGCTACCCCTTCTCAGTCTACACCTCTTGACCAAGACGCTCGTAGAAGGATTTCGCATTATGAGCAGCTTACACATGTCTTTCCATACATAAATAGCTCATTTTGGTCCTCCTGGGGAAGAGAAGGAAAACCCCGCTGCTTGACCACTATCGGGGTAAAACCCTCGACTTCGCCACTGATTTCCATGGCGAGGCCCCCTCTAGGTGTAAGATTGAGGGGGAATAAATGAAGCCACGTCTTCGGGATCCTCGCTGCTCTACCTTTTCCCCCCATCTTCGCGGCTCTAAGCAGCCCCGTGACGTAACAGCTACGTCAGTTCGTTTCCGGATTCTCCCGGCCGGGTCACGAGGCACCCTTCATCTTTTCCCCCGCCGCGAGCCTGCTGTTCTCTCCCCAAGCCCCGCCCCCTCGAGGGGAGACTAGTCCGTCGATGAAGGAGGGAGGCAATACTTGTGTGTCTACATACACGTGAGAATCACTGCACTCTGGCAAGCCCTGTACTTGCGAAGCGATATACAGTACAGTAATCTCATCCAGGATTACCTTTAAATGCTAAAATTAAGAATATAATCCTAATTGTCAATTGATCTTCACTATCCACTCGATATTCTGCTGCACGCTGTAAAACAACATTGGAATGTGGTCGTCTAGGTGTTGGTATCCCTCACGTGTCTGAACCGTCTCTCTCATGGAATAACGAAGAAAAACGCTTTCACGGGGGGGAAAAAGTGTAACGAAGAAGGACTCAAAGTACTTCCAATGTTCACTCCCCCGACCCTCTCCCGGTCCCCTCTTTTCCTTGGGGGGGGAGCGTGGCGATATGTAATAGCCCGCTCGTCCCGTAGTGCAATCCAGACATTGCACGACGGAGAGAGCGGGGCATAATAACCAGACCTAACCCGGACAGGACTGACACCGGAGCAGGACTTCCTATGTTAAGGAGGGGTGTCCTATATCCTGTATTACCTTCTTTCCTATGAGCTTCCAGGCGGCCGAGCTGGCGGCCAATAAGAGTGGAGCGAAGGCGGGGCTTATGTTCCGGCGGGAAGATGGCGGCAGGTTCTTGCACGGCGGTGTATGAGAGGTTGAAGGTAGGGAAGGATGGCGCTGTCGCGGGGCTGAGGTGCCGCCTGCAAAGAAGGGAGGAAGGAAGGAGGGTGGAGTTAATTTTTTTCATTGGCAGTGAATGGGGTCGCCTGTCTGGGGCCGAACTTGGAGAAGTTACCCTTTGCAGTACACCGACGTTACTACCCTTCGATTCTGGAAGCTTTATTTCAAAAAGTACTAACTTTTCGATGTTGGCGCGGTGGGGCAACCGTTTTTAATGGAAATGCCTTTTCTAGTCTCTGGTCCGTTGTGTGGGAACATCCTTTGCACAATTGGGTGACAAAACCGTGCAAGTGGGACCATCCCCAAGTGGAACCTTCTGTGAAACTTTGATCTCTCCCTGGCTCTTTGTCCTGATGGAGTCTTGATATGCAAATTAAAAGAAGACACAGTCAGCAACAGACTCCTGAGGCACCTTGAAGACTTAACACATTTGTTGTACTGTACATTTTGTGGGCTATAGCCAACTTTGATCACATGCAAGAGTCCAAAAAAAACAAAACAAAGCCCCACTCCACATTGCTGCAGCATCTGTTAATCTTTAACCTGATGCGTGAATATGTTTTATTTCTGTTGCTACAGTTGATCCCTTTGGGAGAAAAACAAAGACAGGCTGATGAGTGAGGGTGAAAAACCCACAAAATCCACAATTAGGTAACACTTTTATTAGGACCTATTAAAATGTTGTGGCAGTGGCGGATGCCTCTGTAATACAGGGTATTTGCTGCAAGCTCTCGAAATACTGGTTCTTTAGTATTAGGAAGGTCATTCTGGATGTCCGGAAGTTGGTCTCATCCAGTAGTATGTGCATGTATGGAGTGGTGGTCTAACAAGCACTTAAAGGGATCGGGGCTTGTCTTACTGGTAGAGCAAATGAAGTTGGTAAGGTAGTACTGTAGCCCCCATCCATTCCCCCATGAAAAGCTCCCTGGCTGTTCCTCTGTGTTGTAATGTATTGTAGGACACAGTTGTGAAGACTACACAGCCTGTTATGCACCCTTTGATTTACCTGCTGCCCACAGATATGATGGAGAATGCTCCTTCGTTGTCAGTGCTGAAGGTCTAGCAACAGCCAGTCCAGTTGGCTTCTATACATAAAAGGAGGAAAGGGGTGCTATCTTATTCAAGCAGTCCCTGAGAGTGGTCAGAATTTTCTCAGATTCAAATTTCAGGAAAAAAGTCATGGCAGAAAAAAGTCCAGAGGTATAAATGAATTCTGATGATGTTTTGGAATAACCAGGTTTGGAAACAGTGTACCCCTGGATACCACTTGCTGTGGGGGAGACCAGGGTGTTCTAGTAGGTCTCATCTAGTAGGGCAGCTCTTAGATGTGGCGAATCTGAAACGCTTGTGAGGCAGTTCTACATTGAGACTTCCTGTTTTACTTTATCCGTTACATTTACATCCCATCTTCCCAAAAGCTGTAGTATATATGGCTCTCTGCCACTCTCCTTTTTATCTTTGCAACTCTGCTGTGAGAGATAGGAAAGCTAACCAAGTGGACCCAGTTGGCTTAAGTGAGTTTCATGAATAAGTGGGAACTTCATTCTGCATTTCTCCTGTCCCATATTGGTACTGTGCGGCTGCTGACTAAGGCCCTTGAAGTGCGGTCCTAAGTATGGTTATTCTGAAGCAACTTCCAGATATTAATAAATGCAGAAAAGCATTATTTTCTTTTTGAAACATACGGTATGTAAAGGGAGCTCTAAGATCTTTGTATGTTCACTCAGAAGACTTGCTTAGTTCAAGGAAACTTGCAGGTGGTTGTAGTCAACTCAGCACCTGAGTATATGTGCAGACTTGCTTTGTTAGAGGTAAAATTAATAGTGGAAATTCTATTGTAGTAGAGCTATACCACATCCAGTCTCCCCACCTGCCCAAAAAAGGATTAATGCATGGTTGGGGTTGTTTCTAGAGCCTTCTAGTATAACCTTTGTCCTTTTAATTAAAATATGAGTGTGTGTTTCATTTTCTCTAGAGACAGACACACAGACAGAAGCCACTGGTAATGGTGTGGCTAAAAATATTGTAAATAAATTGTAAATATTGTCTAATGGTGCGGCTAAAAAATATTGTAAATACAGTAAATTGTAAATATTGTAAATTACCAGGATACCAACCCTGTCTTCTCTTCTATACCCACTCGCTCCATTTGAATCGGCCTCCATCTGAAATACATTTAACTCCTCTCAGGCAAGCATAAGCGTCTAAAAAGGAACCTTCTTCATCAGTTAGGAACCTGAAGATGTAACTTAAATGTTAATATTAACTGAATTAAAGAAACAGACCTGATTATTTCAACATATCTTAGAGGCATGTCTGGTTTGTTTGTTTGTTTGCTTTTTAAAATAAAACCTTCTAGCTTCTAATGTTGTCTCCACACAACATTATATGTATGAGATTTTCAGTGCTGTAAGAACATCAGTTCTGTGGGTATAATTTTACCTGCCTTGTGAGTCCCATTTAGTATATATCTGAATATTGGGGGATGGGGGATGGACGTCCATGTTCTACTACCCTGTATAACTAGATTATGCCTTCCACTTATTAGTCTCCTTGCATAAGTGGGATCTAGTCCTCTGAGAAGATCTCCTGCACAGGATTCATTAAAATGAATGGGAGCTGTGCAAGAGAAGGGCCCCTCTTGCTGGAGTGTGTGCAGGTCAGCAGGCTTTGATGAATTGTGCTCTTAAACATTGATTTTATCAAGGATCTTTTGAAAGCCAGCTTCTAAAGCTGATGACCTGAACTGGCCATACATTTTTACTTCTTACTAGGCTGCTTGATCTCTCTTCTTTGACAGGAGTATGTTGGGCTTTTCACTTATGGAAGAGTCTCTCTTAGCAAAAAAATGAAATAAAAATAAAAATTGTAGTGGGAAGATGTCAAGAGTATTTATTCAGACAAAACTGGCTCTGAATGCAAAATACCTTCGCTTATGTCCAGCGTCATTCATCGCATAAATTTGAGCACAAAATAATAATAATTGGGAGGGGTGGTGGTGGTAATGACTAGCATGAAGTTAGAATGCTATGATCTAGGAAATATCTGATGAGGATGTCAATTACAAGGGCAATAAGACTGAAGCCATGACAGAAAAGAACCTGAATGCAAGTGGGGCAATGCTGGACAGGCCCTAAGCTGAGGAATTTGATGCCATGACATTTTCCAACTCGAGGGCGGAATCTGGAAATTTGTTTCTAATGTAAAGGTTCCTGCCTGGCCTACTGTTATTAGAATCATTCCAAGAATGTGCCTGAGGTGCTTTGAACACCTGTCATCCTCCATAATTTTTAACTGTGGTTAACCCTGGCTTCCAGAGGGGTAGCCATATAAAACTGTCCTCAGCTGCAAGAAAAAACAATGAAGAATCTGACGACGCTTTACAAGCTGGCACATTTTATACCGCATAAGCTGTTTGTCAACATCATTTTCAGATGCATCTGAAAAAGAAGGCTACTGAAAGGGTCTTAAAGGGTCATGAAGACTTTAAAACAATTTCCATTTCCTGGATAAATGTGACCAGGGGTAATGGGTGTCTGTGGAGAGCCTTTGTCTGTAGAACTCAAGGAGACTTGTGCCAATGTTAGGGGAAAATGTGAATTGAGGTCCTGTTTACGTGCTGTCATTTCTCACCATGTTGTAGGAGCTGGGCTGCCCTGCTCTAGAAAGTGTTTACCTGTCAGATGCTAAAGAAATCCAGAAGTTGTTGTGCACCCCCTCAGTCCATCGCCTGGACATACTAGAATGGATCTTTGTAAGGTAACAGCTCTCACAGTTACATCCCTGTTCCTTTCAGTTATTTCTCTCTCTCTCTTTCTGTTTCCTAGAAGATTACCAGATAATAGGTTTCTGTAAATGGTGTCTTCTTTTCTGTCAGACTACAGCGTGAACCCTTTGGTCTCTTATTGTGTGCCCACATCTCTAAGCTTGATGATCTTACTGCCTGCTTCATTTTTAAGAGTAGGTTATGGATTTCTCCAACCTCCTCTCTGTTTCCTGCAAGTTATTCTGCCACTTTCCCCAGTTCAGCTCAAGATTGCTTCCTTGTGGCCTCCATGGCATTTGACAGCTCTTTTCCACGAGACTGTCCATAAATAGTGTTTGGCCTGGATGTGGAAATTAGCCATGGGGTTGCAGTGGCCTCAGCATAGGGATACCAGAGTTTGCATTAGTCCTTAATGTAGCATATTTTAATATTTTCTGTACTGTGTCCATGGTTGAGAAGGAATTTGAGGTGAAAACTGTTGTGCCCTACATCAGTGGTCCCCAACCTTGGGCCTCCAGATGTTCTTGGACTTCAACTCCCAGAAATCATGGCCAGCAGAGGTGGTGGTGAAGGCTTCTGGGAGTTGTAGTCTAAGAACCTTTTTTTTGTAAGCAGTTTAGTATCCGAAGACCCAAATGGTGGATCATGAATTCCCAGACAAAGAGTGAAGAGAGACACAAGGGGCAGTGTTTCTTAACTTATAACCCTTGCCCCTTTTGATAAATGCAAAGCTGTTGTGCGTCCCCTCCAAGCCTGCCTCCCCAATAATTGGAATTGGAACTACTGTGAGTAAAAAAAGCCAAATCCTGCTGCCTTAGGTGAGAGCAATCACACAAGCAGTAGTAGTTTTTTTTTCCAGGACTGTCTTATCACCTACCCCTTCTTCCCTTGGTCATGCAAACTGATCACATGATCTGTTGAATACCAAGGCAGCCTGGGACTTGTGAAAAACATTTCCACAAATCCCTTTACACACATGAAGACACGTCAATAAGATTTTTGGCCAAAGCATTTGTCAGTTTTGGGGGAAACACTTTTGCTGATCAGTTTGGTAGGGCTATGTTTTACGTATCTGCAGATTTTTAAAAGAATACCTTTTATAGGATATTTTCGTACTGCAGTCTCCTTTCTAGAAATCGAAACATGTTCCCTTCACCAGGAGGAGGCATGGCAACGTCTGGTTGTAAATCATGATGTTCGGTGTCAGTGGGATTGAGGGCAAAGAAGAACACCAAAGAGATGGGAGGGCCAGAGACTGACAGTTTGTTTATTTTGTTCCCTAGAACTATGTGGGAACTCTTGAACACTGAGGCAGCCCCTGTCTCTGCATAACTTCTTTCTGCATTCTGTTTTCAGTTATGCTGGTTTGATGGAATCCAGAACAGGCTTTATATGGACAGTTGGACAGATAAGACTGAACAGCTAGGATCAAATTCCATTTTGTTAGAAATGCATCTATAATTGCCAACTACCTTGTGAATCTTTTCTCCTCGAGTTTTGTTCTTATAGAAGGACTGGCGGGGGACAATTCTGTTATGTTTTACAGCCCCTAAAAAGGTAAAGGTTCCCCTTGACATTTGTAGTCCAGTCGTGTCCGACTCTAGGGGGCGGTGCTCATCCCGTTTTTCAAGCCGTAGAGCCAGCACTTGTCCGAAGACAGTTTCCATTGTCACGTGGCCAGCATGACTAGGGAACGCCATTTTACCTTCCCACCGAGGTGGTACCTATTTATCTACTCGCATTTGCATGCTTTTGAACCGCTAGGTTGGCGAGACCTGGGACAAAGCGACGGGAGCTCACTCCGTCACGTGGATTCGATCTTACGACTGCTGGTCTTCTGACCCTGCAGCACAGGCTTCTGCGGTTTAGCCTACAGCGCCACCATGTCTCCCCTCTAAGGCCCCTACATCCCCCCCCAAAACTTGAAATGACACAAGTGACCACTAGAGGGTGCAAGGGGACTTTTCAGTAGCTCCCTGGTTTTTGCAAGATTTTTTTTTTTAGTGGGTAGAGGTCATGGTGGCTGGATAGCTCAGTGAGTTGGTTAGGAGTTTGATTCCCCAGCTGTGCTTCATGAGATAAAAGCCGCCCTGTGTGGCCTTGGGCAGACTGCACAGAAGAAGGGAATGGTAAAGCATTTCTGAGTGCTCTGTATTTAGAAAACCCTGGAAAGGGTCACCATAAGTTAGAACTGACTTGACAGCACATGATTATTATTATAGGTCACAGCAGCCTGTGTATCCCTCCAAGGTTAAAGAGAGAGGCATTTGTGGGTCCCTGGACCTGTAGAAGTTGCCCACCCTGGTGTGGCACAGAAATAATAGTAATAATGTGCCTTCAAGACAATTCTGACTTATGGCAATCCTTTTCAGGGTTTTCTAGGAAGAGAATACTCAGAAGTGCTTTACCATTCTCTTCTACTGGGGGCACCCTGGGACTGTGCAGCTTGCCCAAGGCCACACAGGCTCTACTCGCAGGAGGGACAGTGGTTGGGAGACCACTTTCCTGGGGAAGCAGTTTTTAATCAGACACAGAATTATGTAACTGCAATGGTTTCCCTTGTCCTTTTGGCACCACTTTCGGTCATCTCAAATGGATGGTCTATATCTGTCTCTCCCAGCCTAGCACTCTACAGATGTGTTGAACTCAGTGCCCATCCTCCCAGTGTGGCTTTGGTCCAGCATAACCAACAGTAGGGCTGGGGATGTCCTCCAGAACCTAGGGAGAAGTTGTAATCTAATACATCTGGAGTGCACCAAATTTGTTGTTTCACGTAGTGCTGTTCTTCTCTTCTCAAGCCCAGACAGTGTCGCTTCATTGCTTTTTCTTTCTTTCCTTCATTCTTTCATCCTTTCTCCTTCATCCCCCAAGGAGAGTTGATTTTGACTGGTAGACTGTCTTTTCTAGTACTAACCCTGGCATTACTGCCGTAGCCAAATTTGGGGGAAATCTGTGCCTCTTCTGCCGTTTGACTGGTAGACTGTCTTTTCTAGTACTGTAGTAACCCTGGCATTACTGCGGTAGCCAAATTTGGGGAAAATCTGTGCCTCTTCTGCCACTCTTAAGAGTTCTGCAGCAAGGCCGTGGTAACCTTCATTTTGTTTTCCTCTTTGCAGTGTGTATCCGCCCATCCAGGAACAGTTCGCCTCTCTCAAGGAATCTCAGTCAGATTTAAAAATAAAAGGTATATATTGTGTTCAGATTCAAATGGCCAATGGGAAAACAGGGTCATTCAAACAGCTGCTTGTGAAACAGATGACCTCCTCATCATGCCTGCGTTCACAAGTATGTTGTGTGTGTGCATACATGCCGAGAGCCTGCGGGGAGGAGGATTGTAATGTACCTCTGTGCTGTGTACTTAAAATTGTATCGCTATGTAATATCCCTGTTGGTGGGAATCCGGCTAATCAGTGTCAGATGTAGTGAGCAGATTTTGTTTCAACTAAAAGTAATAGCTCGGTGAGTTGGAGAATCTGGCTGCAGTGCCAGGGGTTTGGAGTTCGATTCTACACAGTGCTTCCCAGAATAAGAGCTAGCCTGTGTAGCCTTGGACAAACTGCACAGTCCTAGAGATCCCCCAAAGAAAGGAATGCCAAATCTGCATACTGTATGCCTGGAAAACCTCAGAAGGGATTGCCCTAAATTGGAATCAACATGGTGGCACCGATAATTATCTATTATTAGAAACCTGTAGCCTATACAATTGAATGGCTACTCCTGGGAGAGGGGGCAGGACAAAAAGATGCCTTTGGCACCTGTGTTAGGGGTGGGAGTTAAACCTGCCCTAATGACGATAAAAGGAAAAGGGCAATTTTGGTATTCTAACAGAACTTGGAAGTAATTAATGATATGTATATATACCTCTAGTTCACTGAAGTTTTCAACAATTTTGCAGTGTGTAAAATCATTCAGTGTCACCTGTGCTATGTGAATGTCAGCTGTGCTACATATATTTGAGCAACTATCAATATTATTCATCCTCACTATTTTAATCCGTTAAAAATTTTTGTGAAATTTAAAGGATTGTTTTTTTAAAAAAATAAACAGTTCAATGGATGGATCAAAGAGTTTAGTTTGTTAGATCATCTCAGTGGCTTACCAAAGCAATAAGCTTGAAGTCGTAGAATGTGGACACGTTAGTGCTAACACATTCCAAGCGTTGATTATAAGCAGCTTCTTTCTTAACTTGCCCCAGGTAACTCTTTGGGACCAGGAAAAGCTGAGCCAGTATCTGTAGACTTTGTGGAACCTCCTCTTGGTTTCTGTTTTTAGTCACTGTAGGCTGGTGTGATGGAATGTAGCACTATCTTTATATACAGATGGACAGATAAGGGTGGTTGACTGAGACAAGATTTGTATTTACACCTTTAGCTGAAGATTTAAGTGGAACATCCTGAGGCTACAGGAAGGCTTCTTCCATTCTGAAGAAGTGGACTCAAGCTTTCCATGAAAGCTTGCATTAAAATATAGTAGTTGGTCTCTAAAGTGCCACGATGTCTTTTCTTTTCTTGTTTTTGTTTTGAATTGTTTGAATACCAGCATTGTACTTGCACTGCTATTCTACATTTCCTCCAGTGAGCACACACTGTTCTTCTCCCCATGTTATCCTCAGAACAACAGTTCTCGGGCCAAGCTGAGAATGATTGACCCATCCCAAGTGAGCTTCACGGCTACATGGAGACTTTAAGCCTGGCTCTCCCAAGCGTCCCTCCAGCATAATACTGTAGCCATTGCATCACACTGACCTTTCCATCTCTTTATACTTGATGAAAGGAAAGCCCAGTTTAAATAAACAGCTCTGTCACAGTGGCATCTCCCTGAAGCCTCAGTAGACGGATCTGAGAAGAATCATTTGAGTTCCTTTTCTCTGCAAGAGACAAACACTTCATAAATCCATTTATACCATATGGATGGGCAATGGAGCAATTGTAAAAATGCTTTGTGTCAAAAGTCCACTTCTTTAGGACATCCAGAGGCATTTCTGTATGCAATGATGTTGGCTAAATTTGGAAGACTTCCCAGTTTTTTGTTTCCCACCACCCCTCCCACCCCAGTTCTGCCACTGCAGTGGGGCCCACAAGCCGTTGGGCCCTTTATCAATGCCTGTTTCTGAGCTTGGAATATTCCATGTAGAATTTTTAGTTTGGTGCCAGATGCGTGATAACTATAAAACCTTGGCCTTTTGCAGTTTTTGATAGAGATGGGCATAAACCTTGATTTGGAGGTTTGTGCCAGTTTATATGTACGGGCACCTGTAGTTTGTCCCCTTCCCCCACCTCCCCAGCCAATGGTCTACTCGCTAGCTACTAATCACTCTTCTCCTTGGGCTGTTCGACCGGTACCCGGCAGGAGCCCAGGTTTGCCTGTCCTGCCTCCTTGCCTGAGTGGGTGATCAGCCAAAGAGGGGCAGGACAGGGAAGCCTATGCTCCTGCTGGAGACTGGTCAAACAGTCAAAGAGGAAGAGGAGGAAGAGGAGAGGAGTACGTGCTAGCTAGTGAGTGGGAGGCAGGGGAAGGGAACGTGCAACACGAATCTCTGAACCAAGTCTCTTGCCCGTCTCTAATTTAAGAATTAAACATAGGGAGATAAACAAGTCTGTGTAATTTAGTCCTTCAAACTAAAGTACTTTCATTACTGGAGAACTTATTTGGCATTTTGGGGAGCATATATGCTGTACCGTTCAAGTTATACTAAAGTCTTCATGGTTTGATATCTTACATAGGCGTTGATAAACCTGTAACTTTTGTTCATTAAGTTGTTACATTTTCCTATGTTGGTTATTTCTTGCTTAACACTTTTAGCCAGAAATCTTGTTTCTGGCAATTGAACACTCCCCTCCCTTAATAAATGTTGTATACATAGAATGAGTTAATAGGTCCCATTTCTGCCTTTGGAAGGCTTTTTAAAAAAATATCTGAAAGTTCCCCTCTTCTCAGGCTCTTCTAAAGGTTGAACAGGTTGCTTTCAGGGTTACCTCACTGGTCTTGGCTACCTGAATGCTTATATCACCCTCCTCGGTTTCAGAGTGTGTCTATGTCAGAGCAGAGGCTTTCAAAGGGAGCAAGTTGCCCAAGGGGGTGCTGGAAAGAAGCAGGTCCCATTCCGAAAAGTTTTTTTTGATCATACTGACAAGGTACAGTTGGCTGGAACCAAGTTGCCTTTTACTCTGGGATAAGTAAAATTGGGTATTCCAGTGTTTTTGGCCCACAGCTCCTATCAACCCCGCCTGGTATTTAGCTCCCCTATTGTCTGCTCTGATATAAACTTTCAGGCTTTGATATATGCTTTCAGGCAAAGCTGCCTTATACCAGGCAAGACCATGAGTCTGTTTAGCCCAGTGTTGTGAACTGCTGGGTTTAGGTCTCTGTCTGCGGAGCCAGAGGTTGGGGGTTCAAGTCCCCTTTGGTGCCTCCTTGACAGGGTTTGGACTTGATGGTCCATAGGGTCCCATCCAGCTCTGCAGTTCTAAGATTACTGTTTGTTCTAGCTAGCTCTGGCTCTCCAAGATCTTATATATGGGGTCATTCCCATCACCTATGATTACTTGTTCCCTTTTCTAAACTGGGAAAGGGCAGGGACTGAAAATCCATGACTTAATGCACGCAGAGCAGTTACTTTGCCCTGAGCTTCGGTCCCTTCTCGAGCATTGTGGACACAGCGGTTAGGAAATGGTGTATTTGATTTGGAGTTTGGGGATGAATAGAAATTTAGTGGCTGCTGTACAAGCATTGAATTTGGTGCTTGAACAGAATTTCAGGATCCACATTAGCCCTTGTGAGTAATCTGCACTCCTAACAGAGTGAGCTATGAAAGTTCTCTGTCCAAATATTGATGCAAACATGATCACATTTATTCTGAGCGGTGACAGCTTTCCCTATAAATATTGATTTAAACATAATTCAAGGAACAGGTGGCTAAAATCAAACAATGGCCCATAGTGATGTAGGAGGAAGAAACAACAGCTAAGAAACTGAGTTTTGATTTGGGAAGGTCGTCGTTCAAATCTAAACTTGCACATGCCATGCTGCTGTGCTTTATGCAGCAACTGAGCATTAAAAAATAATGTGAATATATTTTTGAAAATAAAAAAAAAATGCATAATATTGAGATTTTGGTGCTATTTTCTAGAGGAGCAGGGTGGTGACATTAGCCACTTCCTACAAAAGGAAATGGCTCAGAGGGGGAGAAAAAAATGTGTTTGTAGGAATGCAAAAACATGAATGTGTAGCTTGGTCCAGAGTTATCCCAAGCTTAGTAGCAGGAGTTGGGAGCCCTCCTGCAATGGAGTGCCTTAACCATGAGGGGGCAGTAGAGGTAGAGAAGATAGGGGAAGGTACTTTTGGACAAGGACTCTTAGAATCTCAGGGACAGGGACCACGCTGGCTGTGGCATTCTGAGAGCAGTAGACCAAAAAAAGAGAGAAACGTTTATCATCCCTTGATAGGGCATATTGAAGCTGTTTCCAAGGTGGCTGTGTCTAGCAACATTTATATACCCTTTCAAAGGCACTGCCTTCCAGTATTTATTAAGTATTTATTAAAGAGCAGCCTATTTCCTGTTTTCCCTTCTGGTGTTGTGTTGATTGAGCTGTGTGATTAAGAACAAGGAGAGATGGTGTGATGATGAGGTCTTTGTCTCGAATAATTGCTCCAGCTCTTTCCCAGCTCCCCAGGAAGGCCCCTTGCCTTTCTGGAAGCACTAGCATCTGATTCACTTTGGCACCTCATGGCGCCAGGGCTGGTGAGATCATTTGTACACATGTGAAGGTCTAAAAAATCCCATTGAGGTGGGTCTTAAAAAGCTGAGTGCAACTAGAGAAAATCAGATGTGACTTTAAAGAACAGTCATTCAATTCAGCCTCTTGTTATTCTGCAAGCAGAGGCTGCTGTTCATCGATTACAGAGGTGCAGAATGTTTACATTCCGTGCTGTGAAGCTGTTTGAGTAGCTAAAACTGATGCTGGAGCATATGGAGGAGTTGAAAAGTGTTTTAGGTGACTGGTATTCCTTGAAATAGACTTGTTTGCTTGCCAGCTAAGATTTAGCTCCTTTGCCATGTTGCTTAGTGCCGTTCCAAAGCTTAAATACAAATCTGAAACAGTTCCTATTGCACTGTTGATTCTTATCAATAAGTAAGCTGGCAACTCTTTATTTTGAAGCAAGAACAGGCACACTGAATGTGTGTGAAGGACAATCTAGCATGGTCTTCTCAAAAAACTGCTAACCTTGGTGATTTTTCAGTGGTTTAGGTGGTATCTATTTGTAGAGCCAGAATTTGGGAGTTCGATTCTGCACTGTGCCTCCTTGACAGTAGCCGGACTCAACGATTGATAGGGTGCCTTCCAGCTCTGCTATTCTAAGATTATTATATTATTATTCTTGGGGAGTAGGGCAAGGGTCAGTGACCAGCACAAGGAGGATGTTTGGTGGAAAAATAATGTGGGATGCTATAGGAAGGCCCAAGACAGTTTACTAAATGGCTGAAGAAAGAGACACATCTACTTTTAAAAAAGATGATGAAGAATCCAAATTTGGAGACCAGTGTAGTTGTTTTCCCTTCAAAATGGAAGCTTGAACATAATTTTTGAAAAGCGTGACTAAGGCAACGTGTAGCTGAGCCTCCGAGAAGGAAAAAGGGAAGAATATGTCCAGTTATTCTCTCCTTCTGGTCCTCAAGCAGTTGCTATTTGTTGCTTTCTTTGGTGCCAGCAAAGGCTGATATAGCTCCCCAAATGCAATACAGTGAGACAGCCTTCCCTAAACCTGACACATGTTAGAAATATTGGACTCCACTTCCCATCATCCTGGATAGCCTGTGCTCTGTGCTTCAAGCGCAGCATTGCAATAGGAATTAACGCCCATTGCAAAGTTGGATAGTATTTAAATGGATGCTGTAGAGCAGATTTAAGCTGCGCCCATGGATGTGGGCATGTGTGGCATCGGATCCATTGCTAAAATTGTCCTCTGTCCTCACAGCAATGGTGAAGCTGGGATATGATCTGATGCTTTGTCAGGCCGAAGACCTGGATCTCATTATGGTGAGTGCATGGGGCAGGGCAAAAGAGACTCTTGTTACCTCTTGGGGCTGGTTGCTCAATTTCTCAAGTGTTCACCATGGAAGCCTTTTAATTTTAGCTCTCAGCTGCTTTCAGACCTACACAGAGGAAAAAAGAGAGGAAAAATGCCTCCTATTTCTAGAGATAAAACATAATGTAGAATATTGGGGTATAGATATATTTTTAAAGGGGACTAACATAGGATGTCCTTTCTGGAACCTTTTACTTCTACTGCTTTCCTCTAAACCAGGGGTGTCCAACCTTTCACCTTCCCTGGGATGCAATAGAAGATGAAAATTTGGTTTGGGCCGCACATAAATTTGGTTTGGACCGCATGGGGGGGCAGCCCTAGCCATCCTCCGCAGCCCCGCTCCAAGCGCATTTACCGGCAGCTGCGATCTCAGACAGCAGAGCCTGCCAGCTTCAACTCCGGTGGCTTTATGGGGCCAGGAGGGGGTCCACCTATTGACGGGGACGGCGCAATGCAGTCATGCAGCCCCCCTGTCCCCTCCCCTCCCGCTCCTTCCTTCCTTCCCTCTCTCTCCCCCTACCGTTGTGACATGTCCCGGCTGTATTCCAGCTGCAAGTGCCGGCAGTGTAACTTGAAACTTTGGAATTTCTTTACAAATAAAAAATTGCACTGGGCCGCATTATGAGCCGACCTGGGCCGCATGTGGCCCATGGGCTACAGGTTGGACAAGCCTGCATGTTTCAGATTCAAGTGCATTTCTGAATGGCACAATTGCTGAGCAACCAGCACTGTTGGGGATAGGAGGTGGGGGGAGAAAGATGCTGGAATAAATGGACCTTGCGTATGATAACCGCGTAGTTCATCTTGTGCTTTTATCCTTGTCCTGGACATGTCCCCAGGGAAAGGCCCCTGCCCAGAAGCAGCTCCACTTCCTGGAAGAACTCTTGGCAGTGATTCCGCCTCAGGGTAACTTCACAATGTCTGGCTCGATATCAGACTCCAGCATTTTCTCCAGGTAAGTGGGCTGATGCAAGAAGGTCTGCATTTTCCCTGCCGAGCAGCAGGTCTTGCAGCCATTTGTGTCCATGATGCTAAGCGGGAATGACGTGGTCCTCTTGCCAGAAGGTGTAGAATTCCATGCTTATAAAAGGCCCTTTGATCAAGAAGTTCAGATGGAGTCAGCCTGTTAGAATTGGCTCAGGAGTCCCTGAAGGAGAGGACCATGGGTGGGGAGGTGTTAGGATCCAGCCTTGGGTTCTGGCACTTCCTGAGGCCACCTCCTTTTTTGGTGCTCCCCCCCCCCTTTTCCTCTTTTCAGTAGCCTTCTATGGACAGTTTGTGCCATCCAGACTTCACTTCCTACCAAAATGTTCTGTCATTCAAGATGTGGGTTTAAGCCATTTCCTCCTTGTTTTTTATATCCAGGGCTTGGAAGCAATGCGACAGTGTTACAAGTAATGCATTGCTTTGTGTTTGACAGACAATGTTACTAATCTGTCTAAAAAGTATCAGGAGTAACTGGTAACATGGTTTTGTTTTGAAGATAGCATGAAATGTTTATCGTTTTTGTCAATAATACTTAGGAGGTCATTTTAGGAGATTTTTTTTTGCTCATCTTTGCATTTTAAGTGAATTTTTTTAAAAGTAACCACATAACTGTCATGTTGCTGTTAAGATAAGAAGTAATGCTTCAATAAAAAACAGCAGCTAATACTAATGTGTTACTTTTCTAAAGTAAGGTTCCAAGTTCTGATTCTTCCAAGTTTCCATCATCCTTTTCCTCCTCCTCCCTCAGCAAAGAGGAATCTTTCCAGGAGATTGCCAGGAAGAATGAAGAATTTGTGAAGCAGGTTTTCTCCAGTCCTGACCTGCAGGCTGTCTTGAACCCGGAGTGTCATCCCTGGAGCTCAGACATAAAGCCCCTCCTAGTGGGCGAAGAAGCGCCACAGAAAAGGTGAGCTTCCTCGCTCCTTTGCTCATGCTCTGCCTACGGAAAAGAAAAAAGGTGCAGAAGTCCCTGAACCGAAGGGTTCCTAGAACTAAATTGAGGCTACGGTTGCTTTGAGTGGCTCAATCAACAGCAGAAACTCCAGAAGGGTAGGGCTCGGCTAATACGCCTCTGAGCTGAGGTTGGAGCCCCTGATCTCACAACTCCACATCCCTCCAGTCTTCCCCCCCTTTCTCTCCCCCTGTGAAGCCCATGGTACAATCTGAAAGCCCCGATGCTGAATCTTCATATTCATGTATATCTATCAAGGGTCCCTCCGTCAGTCACTTCTCATGAGAGCACCCTGCTGGATCGGCTGAAGGAGCTCGAAGACAGAATGGCAGCCCTCCAAGATCTCAAAGCCCAGGTATGTAACTCACAGGCAGCTTTGTTGGGCAAGAGTGGACGTCCTGCAATATGTGGAGTGGGTCAGTGGTGGCTCCCTGGGTCGTCTGGAACTTGCTTGTTCCACTGGCACAGTTATAGAAGGCATCAGTGACTGAGCCTGATCCCCCCCCCCTGGAGTCTCTTAATTCTGTCATTCAGTGACGGCCCATATTTTGCAAGTCCTGTTCATCAGATAGTGAGAATGAACAGTGAAGATCAGCCATGGGTTCCTTCTGCCCTTCTCCATATTCTGATGGTGCCTCTCATACTTACACTAGTGCACTACTTGAGGAGAAGGGAGTGAACCCTGGCAACAGGTGCCACGAAGGGTGGCAGTGAGCTGCAGTCTGAAATGGCTACTTTTAAGAATCTCAAAATGGGGGTCTTTTCAGTGTTCGTTCCTGCCGGGATCCTCCGCTGGGGGAGATGCATCCCAAGACAGTCACACAGCTCTGCAGGCGCTCAAGCTGATCGCTTCCGACTACAACCAGCTGCTCCTGGCCTTTGAGCAAGTGTATGAGAACGAGCTGCAGAAGCACTGTGAGCGCTCACCTCCTCGACTGAGCCCTTGTGGCCCCCTTTTCCAAGCTGTGCACCACAACCTGCTTCTCTGTATACAGGTGAGACTGGGAGGGGGGAGGCACGGAGGGAGGGAAGAGACCCAGGTGGCATCATCTCTGAGTTAGAGAGGCACGGAGGGAGGGGAAGGGAGGGAAGAGACCCAGGTGGCAGCGCCTCTGAGTTAGAGAAGTCCCCTTCCTGCTGTCGGGAACCAGATGCCTGCTGGTTCTGTGTTTGTGGAAGGGGTCAGTGTCCTTGTAGAGGCAGGAGACGCTACATCGTGGTAGAGATATTTTGGCCTTCACTCCTCACGGTCCCTTGCCATTGGCTATGCTACCCTTACCATTAGGGCTGCTACCTCTTGAGGTCCAGAAACCCCCTTCCTCTGGCCTAATCTGTCCCATGGTGGGTCTCTTGGCAGCTCTCCTTCTGCCCCCTGGGTCTTCACATCTGGTTTCTAGTCAGTCAACGTATATCTAGGCTGTACCAGCTCACAGCACAAATGGGGGTTGGTGGTTCCACACACAATATTGCCTGCACCTAAAAAATAATGTACAGCTGAGGTCAAATTGCCCTTCTTCCTGACGCAACCCACATGAAGTGGGTTGTGATGCACAGAGTACATTCTATCCTCCGGGTTCTCACACCTATAGTCAAAAGTGTAGCCAGATACAACTTTGCCCTCTCATTATAATCTGGTTGCCAGAGTGAACACTTCAAAGTATGTCTCTGAATCTACAGGCATTGAACAGCCAAACGGGGAACTGCTGTGTTGTGTTAGATCTTGACAGGCAGTATGTGTGCATGTAAGATCAAAGCAGATTTTTGCACAGCACAAACAGATGCACTGGTTTCAACTTTCTCACAAAATTCATTTAGCAGTTAATCAGCTCATAAATATTAAATTTTCTTTTTTGTATCCCTGCACTGTCTTAAAGCTGGGATTGGAAGCTCAGGCTGCTAGATAGCTGGAGGTATTGAGGGCACCTGGGTTGATGAGCTTCTACAATGGGTCAGAGCCCTTGATTTTGTGTGTTCTTACCATCAGGAACTGCAAGGTCTAGCCCAAGTTACAGAAACCGCCGAATGTATTATGGAAACAGTGAAGCGACGGCATGAAGAGAAGGTGGTTTGGAGTGGCAATGCTAAATCTTCACTTCGTAAGTTCTGCTGCCAAGTAGAGGCTGCTGCTGTGTCTGATGCTGCCCCACTTGTTTGGGGGTGAGGGGGTGCATAGGACTTTTGTCTGTAGCCTCTGGCTTTCGTCCTATGACTGGAGTACCTGCCCGTTGCCTTTTCTTTAGTGATGTTACCTAAACACCCTTCCTCACTTGGATTCCAAAGAGAGGGCATGGAGTGGGGATGTGACTAGTGAATCGGATACTTCCTATTTTAGGCTAATGATGTGGATAATGTTCATCCTTTTAGAGGTTGGAAGTTTGGGTAGACTACAGTGGACCCCTGCTTCCAGAGTCCCAAGGGGGTTGGGGGTGTGGAAGTATTTGGAAGGTCAGCTGCCACCTTCATACTCAGAATTGCCCATGGGTCGAATCAGTTCCAGGGGAACCCTTCCCCAGAGCAGCTGGAGAGGAGGAATGAAGACGGATGGAGAGGTTGGCAGGGTCAGCCTTGGGGGGAAAAAGAGCCTTTAGCTCCACAGCACCTTGAGTCATCCATCCTAACATTGCCATGACTACCTTATGTTTTGCTTTTTCAGCTTCAAAACTTGAAGAGCTGCAACAGAAATACAAGGCCATCCATGCTATACTTGAAGACTGCCAGTGATTTTGAGCTTGAATGAACTGTAAATACATTATTTGGGGAAATGGGAAAAGATCTTCCATCTTGGGATGGAAAATATTAATGGAAGGCTGGAAAATGCTGCTTGTTGTCTTTCCAAATGTAAATACATTTTGTTCTCTTTTTCTGACGGATTAAAACTAAATAGCATTCTTGTTATACACTGTCCATATTTTGGTGGGCTGGGGAAACTCTTCCTCTCTGGTTTGTTGTCCAGGTTTTGTTTTTTTGTTTTTTGTTTTTTTTGGTGGTGTCCTTTATTAGACAACATTGAATTCTCTTCTTAGCTGCTGGTCTCTGGCAACATTTTCTGATCTTTAGTTCAGTTCCCTTTACAATAAGTGAATGCACATGTACAAACACACACACACGCACCTATCATCTTCTTTATTAGGTACCGTGGCAGATATATCTTTGTTTGCCCCTTTGTTTGCCAAAGCACTGTAGTAAGCTGAGACTCTTTGGTCATCCTCAGTAAAGGGCGGTGAAACATCTGTGGAGCATGGACTTCACGAAAATGGTAATCTAGATCAGTGGTTCTTAACCTTTGTTACTCGGATGTTTTTGAACTGCAACTCCCAGAAACCCCAGCCAGCACAGTTGGTGGTGAAGGCTTCTGGGAGTTGCAGTCCAAAACTCCTGAGTAACCCAAGGTTAAGAACCAGTGATCTAGATTATGGAAAATGTCTTAATGCACTTTTCTCTAGCATCTGCAGTCCACCTAAGAGGAGGGGAGAGTTGGCTGTCCAGATGATGTTCAGCTGCAACTCCCAGTCATCCAAAGCGGTGATGTAGGATGATGAGAGCTGTTGCCTTACTCCATCTGGAGAGGTGTAACTTCCCCATCCCTTGCCTAAACTGTACTTTCTTATCACTGGCTTGTGGCTGTCACTTAGTTTGATTGCTCTTTGACCTTCCCAGATATTTTGGACTTCACCTCACAGAAACCATAGCTGGCATGACCAGCTGTCAGTCTGGAATCCTGCTGAAGTCCAAACCAAAACATGTGGAGGGTAAAAGATTAAGAACCGCTAACGTGTAGGATAAATGAGTTCCTTTGAAATGAGCTCCTTATGTTGAGAACTTCATTTGGAGGAAAAACACACACACACACAATGCATGCATGCATACAAATAAACAAACAAAGCTAGGTTTGGATGTTGTCCCCAGCTTCATAAATACAGTAATGTTGGCATGTCTGTTGACAGGAACAGACAATTTGACAATCAAAGTGCACATGAATCATGGGGAGGAGGTTGGAGAAAAGCACTAGCTTACTTTCACTGGTGCAAGAAACTGGCAGCTGGATAGATTGAACAGAGTTGTGCTCAAATTCTTATCAGAAGAGTGCAGTGGGAAGGTGTTGGCTGCGATGCCAGGGTGTGTCAGGAGGAGCGGAGTCTTAAACAGCCCATGCTCAGGCCGATGCTGGTTATCAGTAATCCAATCCCTGCCCGGGATCTCTGCAAGGTGAGTTGATGCCTCAGTCTCAGGACAGAACAGAGCCTCTTTTTAAAAGACCAAAGACTGGCAAGCAGGGCATGGAGAATTTTTGTCGTTTAGTCGTGTCCGACTCTTTGTGACCCCATGGACCAGAGTATGCCAGGCCCTCCTATCTTCCACTGCCTCCTGGAGTTGGGTCAAATTCATGTTGGTTGCTTCACAGACACTGTCCAGCCATCTCATCCTCGGTCGTCCCCTTCTCCTCTTGCCATCACACTTTCCCATCATCAGGGTCTTTTCCAGGGAGTCTTTTCTTCTCATTAGATGGCCAAAGTACTGGAGCCTCAGCTTCAGGATCTGTCCTTCCAGTGAGCACTCAGGGTTGATTTCCTTTAGAATTGATAGGTTTGTTCTTCCTGCAGTCCAGGGGATTCTCAAGAGCCTCCTCCAACACCACAATTCAAAGGCATCAATACTTTGGCAGTCTGCTTTATGGTCCAGCTCTCACTTCCATACATCATGACAGGAAAAACCATAGCTTTGATTTTTTGGACTTTTCTTGGCAAGGTGATGTCTCTGCTTTTTAAGATGCTGTCTAGGTTTGTCATTGCTTTCCTCCCAAGAAGCAGGCATCTTTTAATTTCGTGGCTGCTGTCTCCATCTGCAGTGATCATGGAGCCCAAGAAAATAAAATCTGTCACTGCCTCCATATCCTCCCCTTCTATTTCCCAGGAGGTGATGGGACCAGTGGCCATGATCTTAGTTTTTTTGACATTGAGATTCAGGCCGCTTTTTGCACTCTTTCACCCTCATTAAAAGGTTCTTTAATTCCTCCTCACTTTCTGCCATCAGAGTGATATCATCTGCATATCGGAGGTTGTTGATATTTCTTCCGGCAGTCTTAATTCCAGTTTGGGATTCCTCCAGTCCAGCCTTCCGCATGATGTATTCTGCATATAAGTTAAATAAGCAGGGGGACAATATACAGCCTTGTCGTACTCCTTTCCCAATTTTGAACCAATCAAGGTAAATTTTAGCTACTTGCAAATCTGAATCCAAAAGTGGTTAAACATTCAGTTCTGGTTTTAAAAAATTGTATGTGGTGGTGTATTTTGAATGGCGAGGCACCTTGTGGCCTATTTAAAAGGTGAATGGCCATTCTTCAAGGTTTCTAGGAGCTACTGTTAACTTTTTTGGCTAGAAAAAAAGAGGAACTGGAGGGATCAGGAGATAAAACACTTTTGGAGCCACACTTTGGCTGTCCTGCTTCAAAGGAACTGGAGATGGCCTTTGTGCCCCTGGTAGGCCCATGGGTGTGGATTGATAATTGAATCTGATGTCCCTAGCTGGATCATGGTGTTCCTCAGCTTCAGGGACCTTCTCAGACAGCCATGTTTCACCTGGTTGGCTTCCACTCCTTGTATGAAAACTAAGCAATTAGATCTGGAAAATGAGAACTCTGAATGCAAGGTTGTAGACATAAACTTGCTGTCCAAGGATCTGTCCTGTCATTACTGTTAGACATCACTTCAACATTGAGGGTTTTCACTAGATGGCTCCAAAGAAAATAGCAAAACCTGGAGAAGACGATTAAGGCCTTCTTTACGGTCTACAGGAAGGTCTGTTGTATCATCCCCACATTAAACATTTTAAAAACAAAGAGCCATTTATGGAAGCCACCCACACAACCCGGATAATCCCTCTTGAGATATACACAAGGTGTTAATGGCACTAAGTCATTTTCTGAGCCTTAAGTCATTAATGAGCCATTAAGTAAAGGGGACACTTAAATTTCTGTTGTAGGAAGTATGTTTCGTGGCCATCATTTTGACTTACAGCATTTCAGAATTGGCAGCTTTATTGGCCATGAAAAAGTGACATGTTTTCCACTCAGGTTCAGCAGTAAAAACTGGCAGTGCCATCTCCCAGCGCTCTGCCACAAGGATTTCCCATTAAAGGAGACATTATTTCTAAATAAAATAATTTCTGCCAAGTGTGGGTGGATAATTTATGTTTCTGCTCAACTGTATTCTTAATATCAGATGCTTCCTGCTGAGGAATAAGATCTTGCATTGAAGGTTACCAAAATATTCTTTTCCTTCTTCACCATTAATGGTCATGCGCTTGTCGGCACAATCTGAGTCATGCACCAAAGATTAGATCTCAAGTATAAAAAGTCTTAAGTGGCCCACATCTTGCTAGAGTGATTCCAAGACAGAGAGCTAACATGTAGTATTAGCTGTCCCTGGAGTGGAAAATTAGGCATAGGGTTGTTAGATGAAACATAGACTACAGATTCTCTATTTAAATTAACAAATTGCATTGCTGAGTTGTTGCACTCAGTTGCCAAGCCCTTTTAAATCATCCCACTCTTGAACACGGACTTCTTTGAAAACTATTTAAGGGCAACAGAATTTTTAGAAGCTGGAAAGGAGGCATGTTGACGTCAGAGTTTGGATGTGTTATATTTTTGCACTTCCATGTTGCGATGGTTACAGCTGAACAAAACAGTAGCTGCCACCAGGAGGATGTCTCTCTGTCTCTGTTTGCGTGTGTCTGTGCATGCTTGCACTGGGTTCTCTGACATGCCACATGCACCCCTGGCTCAATAGCGAAAGCCTGAGTCTGCAGGCCATTGCTACCCTGTCCTGGAATTAGCAAGTCAAAAAAACCCTCTCCCTTCCAAAGCGAACACCAGACCACTCTTCAGTTTAGGTATATACAATACAGTAGATCCCCCTTATCCATGGGACCAGTATCCACTGATTCACTTATCTATGGTCTGAAAATATTAAAAATATTTAAAGAAAAATCTCCAAAATGTTTCTAATGATGAAGTTACCCGACCTGGCCACTAGAGGGAGTCAGAGACCATGCTATTTATAGTTTTGTTTGCTACAAGGCTAGAGGGAGTCAGAGACCATGCTATTTATAGATTTGTTTGCTGCAAGGCTTGGAACCAAAGTTCTTTCTAAGTTTCTGTCCTGCTGCATGGGAGCCTCACTCCATGTGTTGTGCGGGGGCCTTCATTCGAAACGGGAAGTAAACCGACCACCCCCACGCACGACCCCAGCGGAGCTGTGGGCAAGCATGCCCTCCAGCACAGCTTAGGAGGGAAGCTTGCTTGGAAACAAATCCCCACTGTAGTGATCCAAATGGGTTTAGGACCATAACATTCCCTGACCATGCCCCCCCCAAATTCCACAAATGTGGATAATTTCTATTGTATTTTACTATTTGTTTGTTTGTTTGTTTATTTGTTTGTTTAACTTATATGCCACCCACTCTACCCAGAGGTCTCTGGGCGGCTTACAACAATTAAAATACAATAAAAAGATAAAACAATTAAAATAGATACTCTGAAAATTGCCATTAGGACCCACAGTTGATATTATTTCAATTAAAAGCCTTCTGGCACAGGAAGGTTTTGAACTGGTGCTGAAATGTCATTAACATCGGCGCCAGATGAATCTCAGTCAGGAGAGCATTCCCTAGTCTGGGGGCAGCTGCCGAAAAGGCCCTTTGTCTACGAGCCAGCCCTCTTACCTCCTTGAGGGATGGCTCTTTCAAAATTAGAAAAAGAAAGCCAAATTAGAAAGTAGATACTTTCAGGTTAGTAAACCAACACCAATAAAATAAAAAAGTTCAAATTGCAGTGATTACAGGAAAAGAGTAGGCAAAGAACAATCCATATATAAAATAAGAAATTTAGCTAGCCTATTCTGCTTACTCAGGGGGACTTCTGAATAGACCCATTTCTTAGCTGATACCTTTCAATCCCTGGGGCTTCTGTCCAAATCTTCCAAAATACCCACAATGCTATACCGTATGTAGTCATTAGGTTCAGTTCCTAGTCAGATTCTCCACAGATGGCTCGAAGGGTCTTTGGGCCACCTCTAGAGAGCTCCATGCAGCTCGCTCTCCTAGGAATTGCCCCCACTCCAAGCTAGCAGTCACATGCTAGGCCAGTGAACACAACCCATATAACTCGTGCTTCAGTATTATGAATATAAGAATTTCTTCACAAACACCCAGAATTCCCCAGCTACCATGGCCATGACTAGGAATTCTGGTAACTGTAGTTCAAAAGAACAGTTTCCAGGTACTGACTCACACTGCTGTGAAGTTGTGTGTGTACCAATACTGCTCCTGGGAGGAGAGTTGTGAATGGCAAATACAGAATATTCATCGGCCTTTACGTACTATTTCTTTGCAGAGTGTCCAGAAGTGGTTATGTAGACCTGGTTCACCTGGCAGTTCTTGGTGTCGGCTATTTTATAGTTCTAAGCAAATTCCTGAACTTTTGTGTCAATCTCTCCTCCCCACTCCCCATAATATTATTTTCTGAATTCTGTTCAATGTGTGTTAGATATTAATTAATAATTACATGTTGTCAAGTCATTTGCAATAGGTAGACCCTTTTGGAGGTTTTCTAGATGTAGAGTACTCAGAAGGGGTTTTCCTTTCCAACCTTCTAGGAGTGTTCTGAAACATGTGCAGTTTGCCCAAAGCTGCACAGGCTGGCATCTCTTCCAGGATGCATAGTGGGGAATCAAACTCCCAACCTCTGGCTTCACCGTCCAAAATCCACTGCACTGAGTGATTGTTCTTTTCAAATACGCACAGCTATGAAAGATCCAGTGTTTCTCTGTATTCATTGTTTGACCTTTTTCTGCATTGTTTTGTCAAAATATCTATCCTGTCAGGAGGGCAGGTGAGTATGGATGAGTTTACCCATTTCCAACTGTCCTGTGAGGTAGGCTGAGCTGAGGAAGAGTGACCGACTCAGAGTCAGCCGATGAGCTTCATGCCTTCTCCCGTTCCTGGTCTTGGCTTCACCAGCAGAGTCTAATGAAGAACTGTTCTTCATCCTGGCTTCTGCCAGGAACGACTCTGACTCATTTAATCAGGGCCCAGAGATGCAGAAAGGAAAGTTCTATAAAAGTTGAATTCTTGAATGGTTGAGATCCTGCATAGTAGAAGACCTCTTAGTCATCCTTTCAGTTACTGTCCTTCATCTGTACGACGAGAACAATGACTTGACCCCTCTTTAGAATTCTGTTGTTGTTATTCATCAGACATAACAAGACAGGAACAAAATAAAACAAATTAAAGATGATGATTAATGTGTTTTAATTGGCTGCTAAGTAACAGTTACAGTAATTTCTCTTCATTTCCATGGTTTCTATACAGTACTCAGCGTTTTAGCCCATTTCTATGTATACAATGAGTATTTGTTACTCATTGATGTTTCAAGATGAAACACCTCATGTTTTCTTTTATAATATATTTCAAGCCAGTTTTACAAATTGCAACTATTTGATTAATTTGTATCTCACCTTACCCTCCTTGAGCATGCAAAAATATATAAAATGCACAATGTACTAAAAACATACCGATTAAAATTCAAAACTACTGTATACTCATATTTTAAATGTCATCTGAAAACCACAAATCAAATGTTAAAAGACGCCCCCTCTTAATAAACCACAAATCAAATGTTAAAAGACGCCTCCTCTTAATTGATGGGTCCCCAAAATGCCTTTCTAAAGAAGTACATTGTCAGTTGCTGGTGAAAGGAAAACAGGAAAGCAGCCAAAAGGTGAAATAGCATCAATTTCGTTTCTACTTGGAATATTGTAAATACATCACACAGCCCACATATAGACTATAATAAACACACAAGTAAGTAATCAGACAGGGAAAACAGCAAACATAGCATAGTTTGTAGGTAAAGCTCTATTCAGGCATTGGGATCTGGTGGTTTGGATGGAATTCCAGCCGTCCATTGTTGCCTTTTCCTCCTGATCATCACTCGGTCTTTAGGGAAGAAGTTTCTGTTCACATATGGGCTCTTCAGGGGAGCAGGAACTCAGATTTTCCAGGGTTCTTGCTCTTGAATTTCTATGGGAGGATGAACTTCTCCAGACTTGGTGATGGTTTTGATGACATCAAAGGTGGGTGAGATTAGGTGCTCCTCTCCAAGTCTTTTCAAACAGCCAGATTCTGTAATCTGTCAATAGGGTACAGTCTTCAAACAGTCATCTAAAATTTCCAGCTAAAAGTTTCCTAACACAAATTGCCATCAGCGGAGAGTATAATCATTAGTCTTATGATAAAAAAAATTCCATTAACACCCCTATAATCTGGTTTTCCACTTTGAAAAAAATAATCTTCATCTCCTCTTCTGGATAATCATTACTTCCACATGGACTACTTTAACCAGGAAAAAAGGTGGAAAAAACCTCTTTATGTGGTAACATCTCATTATCCTCCTTCAAAATTGCCAAAAGATGAAAACACTTTTCTTCTTTTTTTGAAGTCTTTTTCTTCTACTTCATCAAAGACTTCACTTCAACACTGAGAAACGTGCTCACAGATCCCTCTCCCTAGGCAGATATATTCAACTATTTCTCCACAATTCCTTTAGTAAGCCTTGCCAACAGGATTAAGAGAGCTGAACCAAACCAGGGGAAAAATACTCTCTGTATACTGTGTTTCCCCAAAAATAAGACAGGGTTTCCTATTAATTTTTGCTCCAAAAATGCATTAGGGCTTATTTTCAGGAGATGTTTTATTTTTTTCATGTACAACAATCTACATGTATTCAAACACAGTCATGTCATTTTCTTCTGGTTGCTGCACAATGGTGGAGGGCGGGGTTTCACTTAACTAGGGCTTATTTGGGGGGTAGGGCTTATATTGCGAGCGTCCTGGAAAATCATACTAGGGCTTATTTTCAGGTTAGGTCTTATTTTCGGGGAAACGGTATCATTTTCAGGTTGTGCTTACTCTCAAAGCTTTCCACGTCTGTTGATTCATCTGGGCATGAATATCCTGGTTCCAAAGGACAGCCTCTCACCAGTGTTTCCATCTTCATTCTGTGTAAAACGACAACGCAAGTTTCAAAGAGTAGGATAGTCATCACAGCTTCAACTCACACAGGAAAAGAGAGAAGTGGGTTGGTGGGGGAGAAAGAGAGATTGCTCTTTTTTCTGGAGAAGCGTATGGACTGAGGTATGGGTGAAGCCTCTGGACAAAGCCAATTGTCTTCAGTCCGAAACATTCGGTTATTGCACCGGAACCCGATCAACAAAACTATGCATTCATGTTCAACGCTCTGTATTGCTTAGCTTGTGTCTATGGACAGATAACGGTAGGCCTGTGCATTCTTGATCTATACTGGCTTAGTGACCAGCATCTGCACCCTTGATTCCCGAGGAAACCTAGGCATAGTTCTTTGTAAAAGAGGTTAGGCTATTTGAAACTAGCTAGCTAGGAATCTTGGGTATCTCAGTATCTCCACAAAGCAGAAATGACCAAGATGCTGGATTAGCAGAAGGGGGGGGGGACAGTCAAAATATCAAAGTACACATTGGTGGTGATGATGGGTGTTTTTAGCCTAAAGGAGGGAGATGTGATATAGGAAGTATGGTGGTGGTTACATGTAAATGCAACACTGTAGAGTTTTGCTTTGTTCCCGGAATACCCCCTACACTGTTTCCTACACACAACCTTTCAGGGGTCTTGGTTGGAAAGCAGACAAGCAATGTGCTAAGTAGTAGCTGACGTGGGCCCTTTGAGCCATGAGAAGGAAGGAAAGAAGCTGGGCTGTTCGTGAGGAAATGTAGGCTTTGGATGAAGTCTCCCCTGAACCTATCGGGGTGATAGTCATGGCTCACCTTTTTGGAAAACAAATCAGCTGAAGCAAATACACTGTGTACACCCTAGTCGAAACTTGGTGCTACTGATGTTAAACTCAGAAAGACTGAGACAGGATGGACTTGGTGAGTTTCCTATAAGACAAGAAGAAAAAGTTGTCACAAATTGACTTAATGTCAGCCATCTGTGAAGGAGGAAGAAACCTGGAAGATATCATCACAATCATCTTAGAACTACAGAGCTGGAAGAGACCCTATGGGTAATCAAGTCTAGCCCCTGTCAATAAAGCACAGTGGGGAATCAAACTCCCTAAACGAGTGGTCCCCAACCTTTTCTGAGCCGTGGACCAGTTGGGGGTGTGGGGTCTGTGCGTTGGGGGTGGGGCACCCCTGCGCTTGCGGGGGGTGCTCACAGGTGGACAGGGGGGTGCTTGCGCGCATGCATGGGTGGGCAGGGCACCTGTGTGGGTGGGCCGTGTGGGGGGGAGTGCATGCGGGGGGCAGGAGATATGCCTCAAGGGCAGGGCACCTGTGTGGGTGGGCCGTGCGGGGGGGAGTGCATGTGAGGGGCAGGAGATATGCCTCCATGGCCCAGTCCTGTCAAGGCCACGGACCAGGGTTGGGGACCCCTGTCCTAAACCATTGAGCTCTCCAGAGTCACATATCGTACTTCCACCACCACCACCCCGGGCTTTGTCTTGAACTTGATACATGAAAGATTCCTTTATTATGATCAACAGATCAGATAAAAATTAATAACAGAATTACATAATAATAATGGGAATTAATAAATAAAAATTAAATCTATATTGCATATGATTAACACTTAAGACATTTCATAGAATCATAGAAAAGAGAAGTTGGAAGAGGCCTACAAGGCCATCAAGTCCAACCCCCTGCTCAATGCAGGAATACAATCAAAGCATATCTGTCAGGTGATTATCTAAGTTTTTCTTGAATTCCTCCAGTGTTGGAGCACTCACCAACTCCTGAGGTAACTGGTTCCACTGTCATACTGCTCTAACAGTTAGGACTTTTTCCTGATATTCAACCGAAATCTGGCTTCCTGTAACTTGAGCCCATTGTTGCGTGTCCTGCACTCTGGGATGATCGAGAACAGATCTTGCCCCTCCTCTGTATGGCAGCCTTTCAAATATTTGAAAAGTGCTATCATATCACCCCTCAGTCTTCTTTTCTCAAGGCTGAACATGCCCAATTCTATCAGCTTTTCCTCGTAAGGCTTGGTTTGCAGCCCCTAATCATTATAAAATTTTGTGGTACTATTTGTGTGGCTCTGGAAGTTGAGTCAAGGCAACTGGACTTCTTTCTTATTACGTTGAAAAGTTTCGCTACTCATCCAAGTACCATATTTTTCTGTGTATAAAACAACACTTGTTCCTAAAATAATTAGAGGAAAAATTGAGGGTCATTTTATACGCAGAAGGCAGCAGCAGGAGAGGGAGGTGGAGAAGCAGCCACCCATTCACTGCTGCCTCTGCCGTCTGATTGCCCCCTCCAACGCCACTGCCGGGGCTGACCTCTCGAGCTCACATCACCGCCTTGTCCCCTGCCTGAAGGAAACGATCCCTGGAGGAGGCAATCCAGTGGTGGCGATGGCAGCCAATGGGCAGCCGTGAGAGGTGGCTGAGCAAGGCTGTTCCTTTGGCTCCATCTCCTCCTCCTCCTGCCTCCGCCACGGGTCGTGGGCTCACAATCAAAGCATATCTGCCAGGTGGTTATCTAAGTTGTTCTTGAATTCCTCCAGTGTTGGAGAACTCACCAGCTCCTGAGATAACTGGTTCCACTGTCATACTGCTCTGACAGTTAGGAATTTTTTCCTGATATTCAACCAAAATCTGGCTTCCGGTAACTTGAGCCCATTATTGCGTGTCCTGCACTCTGGGATGATGGAGAACAGGTGATGCCCTTTCTCTGTATGGCAGCCTTTCAAATATTTGAAAAGTGCTATCATATCACCCCTCAGTCTTCTTTTCTCAAGGCTGAACATGCCCAATTCTATCAGCTTTTCCTCGTAAGGCTTGGTTTGCAGCCCCTAATCATTATAAAATTTTGTGGTACTATTTGTGTGGCTCTGGAAGTTGAGTCAAGGCAACTGGACTTCTTTCTTATTACGTTGAAAAGTTTCGCTACTCATCCAAGTACCATATTTTTCTGTGTTCCTAAAATAATTAGAGGAAAAACTGAGGGTCATTTTATACACAGAAGGCAGCAGCAGGAGAGGAGGTGGAGAAGCAGCCACCCATTCACTGCTGCCTCCGCTGTCTGATTGCCCCCTCCAACGCCACTGCCGGGGCTGACCTCCAGCTCACATCACCGCCTTGTCTCCTGCCTGAAGGAGACGATCACTGGAGGAGGCAATTCAGTGGTGGCGATGGCAGTTAATGGGCAGCCATGAGAGGCGGCTGAGCGAGGCTGTTCCTTTGCCTCCATCTCCTCCTCCTCCTCCTGCCTCCGCCAGGGGTCATGGGCTCATCAGCAGCAGCGGGAGGCAAAGACTGAGGCAGAGGAGCAGCCTCACTTGGCTGCCTTTTGCTGCTGCCCATTGACTGTTCCTCCGCCTCCAGCAAGGGTAAAAATTAGGGGGTCGCCTTATACATTGGGGGCAGTCGTATACACGGAAAAATACAATAGCTTCTTCCCAGTTGCCATGACTCAACTTCCAGACAACCTGACCTGGATGACTGAGAATCTTCACAGATACATTTCAGTTGATGTTTTGGGCTTCTCTTGAATTCATTCACAGGGCAACTGAAACGGGAGGCTTTGTGAGAAGATCAAGCAACCAAACCGCGATACATTTCTGGCAAAAGAAACTCTCACGACAAACAAACAAAAACATGGAAACAGAATATTTTGTAGCCATATCTCATGCCAGAGAGGCCCCAGGCGTACTTTCCAGTTCTTATTGGTTCTTGCAGAATAGCCAGCAAACTGGCCTGTAGCCCAAGATACACGGCTGGCTAAAGAATTCTGGAAGGGAGCCATTTTGTTCAAATCCTCTTAACAATGGCAGTCAAAACAGCAGGCCAAGGCATAAAAGGGGTGGTGTTATCAAGTTTGTGAAGGAGTTTTACAACCGCAGTTGGATCAGATTTTTCAGGGCTGGATGCCTCCAGATGGAGTACGAGATGTAGATCCAGGATTTCATTTTTTTAAAAAAAGTAATTATATTGAATAAAAAATATATTCATCATCCAGTGTTCATGGTAGTTTGCCAGATACTGCGCAAACCATTCTTTCCTCCCTTTCTTCTTCTTCCTGGGCTAAAAGAAAGACTTGGCTGAAGGGCGTTGGGAAAGAGAAAAAGTGTCCTTTACTGGATTACCTCGTTTGGGATCATACATTTATAGGGTAGATCAAGGGGTAGCCTTGCCAGCACTAGAAAAGGAGGAGCTGGGAAGTCTGGTTTTAAATTAAAGGCCTGACGAGTATGACTCTGTGTCATTTCTTCTCGTTTGGTGGTCTGTTTACAGATGTAGATGTAGATATATCTCACGAGGCAGTTATACCTTCTTTACTTGAGGTATCCTGGATCATAGGGGTTCAAAGTGTTTGGCTTATGGTTGTTGTGGGTTTTTCAGGCTCTTTGGCTGTGTTCTGAAGGTTGTTCTTCCTAACGTTTCGCCAGTCTCTGTGGCCGGCATCTTCAGAGGACAGGAGACTGGCGAAACGTCGGGAAGAACAACCTTCAGAACACGGCCAAAGAGCCCGAAAAACCCACAACAACCATTATATCCCGGCCGTGAAAGCCTGCGCGAATACATTGTTTGGCTTATTTTAAACTTTTTGCTCTAGCGCCTTTCCATTTTCAACCATTCAGTACGTTCCCCACCCCACTTACGTATTGTGGATCCCACAAAACAGAGGTGCAACCCAAAAATCTGTGTAAAGTCTTCTCAAAAGACTAGCCTGGTAATGCACACAAATCCACTTCTATTGAAACAAATATAATATTTATATGCACACATATAAACGCGAAGAGTCGGACATGACTAAACGACGATATAAACAGAATCAATAAACCTTCCTCAGTCAACTTATCTATTAGTTTCTAAAGAAGAGGCTGTGGTACTCTGTCTCGGCACTTTGGTAAAAGAAAGAGAACAAAGAAAAAGGAGTGGTTGCGCAGAGCAAAAGATGGTCACATTGTAAAGACTAGCAGTTTTACTTCAGTGTAAATTACATAGATCAAAACTGACTTCTTTGCAGATACATACAAACACTTGAAAGCAATGGTATGCGTGTCTCAAAGCCTGGGCAAACAGAGTGTCATTTACCACTAAAGATCTAAATCAAGGATGGCCAAGGTACATCCGTCTGAATGTTGAAAGACTGCAACTCCCCCATGGCTGCCGATGGTTGATGGGGGTTGCAGCCCAGCAACATCTGGAGAGTCATGGCCACAAATTCTCCACCACATATTAAAAGTAGAGTGTCCATGAGAAGCTGAACTATAGCATACAGTACTTACCAGCTAAAGACTTTATCAGACAGGGATTTGTCCTGCTATTTGGTGGTAGTTTCGGTTGCAGGCACTTTTTATCAGCACTTGAGACAAGGCGAAGATTTTTTTAAAAAAAACCCTGAATCTTATTGATGTAGTCTATCAGTGATAGTCCGGCGGGATTTTAGAAAAAGAATAATTTCACCTCCCCTGCCTCTCACTAAAGAGCAGGAGAAGAGTTCAATTTGCTGATATATTGAAGTGGCTCTCTTATTAAGCAGCTTCACAATATCAGGAATTGACAGCAGGTGGGAAAAAACTAAATAGGGTATTATCAGCACTTGAGACAAGGCGAAGATTATTATTATTTTTTTTAAAAAAGAATCTAATTGATGTAGTGCACAGTGATAGTCCGGCGGGATTTTAGAAAAAGAATAATTTCACCTCCCCTGCCTCTCACTAAAGAGCAGGAGAAGAGTTCAATTTGCTGATATATTGAAGTGGCTCTCTTATTAAGCAGCTTCACAATATCAGGAATTGACAGCAGGTGGGAAAAAACTAAATAGGGTTGTTTGAAGACAGTGTGCCATTTGGATGTAAGGATTGCACCAAATGGCATATCATACCTCTACGTGACCTCAGGAAACTCTGTTTGGAT